ATCCAAAAATTTTATTTTTACTTCATATATTAAAGATTGATTAGAATTTTTAGATCATTTAAATTCAAACTCTAAAATAATAAATTATTTAGTATTGAATAAAAAAATATCTTTAAATTACTTGTACATTTTTATAATCTCCTAAAATTTTTTTGAGCCTTGAAGAGAACTTATTTTGAAAAATTACTTACAAAACACCAAACTTTGATTTGGTACTTTACAAGCATTTTGCTAAGATATGGGTTGCTATAAGTAACAATTCACAGTAAAACTTGCTGCAAAATGACAAAAAGCTCGGATTTATTTTCCTGAGGCAAAATGGGTTGCCACGAGGAATTTACAAATCATTATTAATTTTATAGCTTGCTACAGAGGGTTGGCGCCCAATCCACAAAGGCACAAACTAACAAATACTTTAAGAGATTTATTGAATTATCTCGGTCCTTAAAAAAGTCTTAAGACTTTGTTGTTAAAATGATTTTCAACTACTTATAAATTTTATATGCTCATTATTAATCTGAAATGACTCGATAACAACTTGTTTGTTTCATCATTATACAACCAGTTTTCCATCCTTGGCTTCCTAGTTCTTGTGATTTCAATGTTTTCCAATATACATGGATTGCCCTACATGTTTTGAAGCATTCTAACCTCAAAACTCTTAACTATTTTCAAAAAAAATAATATCACTCAGTCTACATAAAATCTACAGCTTTAGGATCATTTGATTAAAGCGAAAGATCAAGTCAAGAATCTTCAATCTTCACACATCAAACTCGTATGTCTAAGATTTTATTTTTTGTATAAAGTTTTATTATTTTATTGTATTTCTATTGTGCTAAGTCTATTCAAGGAGGCTTAGAGGAGTGCCCTTATCCACATGCGGTAAGGTTCCTCTTACCCTTGTTGCAACGATTTCGTTGTAGACTTTCAGGTGAATAATTGATTGTTACTAGAATTATAAGCATCCAGAGTGCTTCAGCATACAAATCACATAAAATTTTGGTGCTTATTTTGTCTACTTTGCATGATTGTTTAAAGTCATTCAAATAATTATTTTGAAATAGCCTTCATAAGTAAATATGTTTTTAAAATACCAAACTAACCCCACCGCTTGAGCCACGTGTTAGTCATCAATTAGTGTCAGTCTCATTTCTATTTGATTTAACATCCAAAAATGATGCACTCACTCACACCTGGGCACACATTTCCATTTTGTGGCACGCCAAAAGAACAATCCTCACAAAACCATCATTGTTTGACAACACATCATTAGATTTGTGAGAAAAAAAATACAATAATGTTATTGCAATCAAATGTCATGAGAAATTAGAAGCTAGTATTAAAAAAACTCAAATGACTAACCAAGAAGGTTGATAGCAGAATAGTTCCAAAACGCATAATGAAAGGTCACAAGCTAAGTGAGGTCTGGAACAACTAAATGCAAATAATATATTACTGAAATTTTTTTATATAAAAAAATAAAAAAGGACTAATTGGCGCAACAGTACTTAGGCAATAGTTGTTCAAGACATTACAAAAGACCATTCAAATTTCACAAATATTAGACCTAACGATGACAGAAATTTGTCACTGGGAGATAATCTTAAAAAGTATATTGATATTAGCATTACAGGAAGATTTGCGACCTAATAAAAAAAGTTCATATAAGTTTATAGTTTCTGCATTAGTTTATTTAGCTTTTAACCACAGCAAATTATATTTCAAAAACTTACATATTATTTTTCTTCATGACATCGTTTGCTAAAAGTGAATCGTAGGGTTGCGCTTATTGGGCATATGCTTGATAATATTTATTTAATAAAAGTTATATAACGTTAATAGAATGCAAATAACATGATCAAAAACCACATTTGATGAATCATGATTATACAATAAAAAATTATATCATGATAGCCTGCACCAACCCATCTAATTTGTTAAAAAGGTAATTTGTGATTAGATTTCATAAATTTAATCTTCTTTTAAAACATTTGTTTGATGCTTATAAATCAAGAAAATAGAATAGAGCATTTCAAAGTAAAAACATTATTTTGACATCTAGATGTTTAAAACTACAAATGAACTTTATGAAGCGGGAGCTTTTTTTCCTGCACTGTTTACTCGCGGTACTGTAGCTAATATAGTACCTTGGGAAAACAAATAGTGGGAGACAGGAGTCAAGCGGTTAAAACTGTCACTTTTTTCTTTATTATTATTTCTTTCCTATTATCATTCGTTCTTTATTAGTCCTTCCCTAAATATGTGTGTATTAGGGTTTCAAATAGTAGTTTTAGGTGTCTTTTGTATTGGGACAGCCGCCGGCGTCTCTTCTTCACTTCGAGGGTTGTATCTTATGTTTTCAAGTACTGCTTCAGCTGTATCTTGATTTCTAGGTGGTGAATTATCTTTCTCCCATCACACCCAGCTGCCACATGTTGTCCTCCCTGCTGCAGCTGCCTCCAGGACAGCAGTTTTTGTTGTTTTTCACTGCAGTGTTCCCATTCCAGCCCTTCTCACTCGATGCTTCCACTCCAAATAGCAGTCCCTTGCTGCCCTGCAGTCTCCCGATTCACCCCTTTGCTGTCTTCATCCAGAAAACAGTAAACCCAATGTTTTCTGTTGTCCCCTGGCTGTTTCAGCCTTTCCTACCGCATCTTGCCGCTCCGTTCACCACCTCACATATTGCCCTTGCTGTCCCAACATTCCGCTTCGCTACCAACACGATTCCAGCCTCTCCTTTGGTTGTCCTAACCACCTAGCCGGCCTCCACCATGCTTGGGATACACTTTAGTAGTGTTTGTTAGTCCTTTTATGTTTGTTAACATTTATTTCTTGTTTGAAGAGCAGTCGTTGTAACCATATTTGAATTCAGCAATAATATTTTTATTTCTATTATGGGGCTTCAAGTTCAACACATGAAAAATGACATTTTCATATCTCAAACCAAATATATCCATAATCTTATTACAAGGTTTGGCATAAAAAATTCAAATCTGCTAGAAATCCTATGAGCCTAAAAACCAAGCTCAACAACAAAGAGAATGGTAGATCAATAAATTCTATGTTGTTTAGAGGTATGGTTGGTTCATTGTCATACCTTACAAGCATCCAACCAAAGATTATGTTATTTCTACCCATGATTTCTAGTTGACCTTAAGGTACCACATTGGTGATGATTAGGATGGTCTTTAGGTACTACATATCGAACTTTAAGTTGTGGTACCCTAAGAATGCTCTTATGTGAATTTCTTTCAGATGATGACTTTACAAGTCTCAAAGTTGATCAAAAAAATACATCACGAATATCTCAAATCCAAGGGCTATCACTCAAATCTTGGTTCAATAAGAAATAAAACTACATTGCCCTATCCAGAATAAAGGTAGAATATGCCACTATATAGCATATGTACTATAGTTAAAGGAATTATTAGAGCATAAAGGCCTTAATCAAAATCATATAGATGTGGTAATACTACTGTACTAAATCTCGTCAAGGATTACATCCAAAATTTTCAAACCATCCTAATCACACTTCATATATTGAAATGCATATAGTGGCAAACATGGAGAATTTAAATCCTTCAAACCTTTCATGCTTGATGGCGAGCCTGAACAAGTATTACCTACCAACAATGATCTAATCTTAGAACAAGAAGTAGTTTAGATTGGGCATCTTCTACGAGAAAAAGACTACTGACACCCGACATGGGTCAAAATAAATTTCACATTGGCAAGAAAAACCAATCAAAGCCAAGTAGTATACCAAGGAAGCAAGGCCTGCAGCTTTCCCTTTGTATAGTGCTTTAATTTCATAGTAGAAAAATCTGCCTAAATGGGATAGCCATGATGTGGAAATCAAATCTAATAAGTGATCATCAAATCTTCTATGATCATAATTTAGACATCAAATCATAAAAAGATACAATAGACATAGTTTTCAAAGTTTAAAAGGTCCAATTCCTAAAAATAAAAGTATCAAAGGTGATTCTCACAACACATTGTTTAGATTTAAGAGAAAATTCCCAGAAATCTGTAAGTGCAGTCAGATCAACAATAGGACACCATACAAGGGAGTTTAAGGCTTTAAATGCTAGACCGTTGGACAATCTCATATTATATGAGGATGAGAATGAATTTTAAATTTTTTATTAACTTTATATTTGAATTTAAATTTATATTAAGAAAATTCCAGTAAAATTTTTTATTTAGTTTAAACTTATCTAAATTCTTTTTCATAGTTTGGGTGTCTTTTTTTGTGCACTTTAGTGTAGATAACTGTTTCCCTATTAATATGCATGAAATCTTAAAGAATAAATAATCTGAAAAATCAAGAATTCTCCTAAAGCAATATATATTTTTCCACTGCATTTTCTCCGTCATAAAGATTTTGGTTCAAGCCTCTACTGCCACTCAGTTTTCATCAGGCCAATAGCAATAGTTGAAGACCCTACTTTCCTTGTAGCAAATTCTGAACTAAAGGGAGCTGCCACTGTTTTCTGCTTGCAGTCGCTTTTGTCCCAACGCCTGATGACTGCTTTGCAGCTACCTGTTGACTGCCACATGCTATCTTGACACTGCAAATTAATGCAGCTGCTGCTTCCCTGTTTTGCCAAGGAAGCTGCTCTGGTTGGCTAAAGGCTGCTGTAACAGTGCTGTTATAAATTTCGGCTTGCTGAAATCAGCCAATTGAGGGTTGAAAATAGCAACAATACAGTCCACGTAGCAAAGGAAACCGCATATCAAGAGACAAGCCTATTTGTTAATATTATATTATAGTCTGAATACATTTTCAGACAAATATTAGGTTAATGGCCCTGTATCATTGCTCGTCCATACCCAAAACATGCTCTATAGTTTGAATGAAAGTAAAATAATCAAAATATAGATGCACTAGTTGTTTACATGAGAAATTAACCATTTACTGCAACAAATTAAAATGAATGAACATAGAAACTGAAAATTATGTCTGAAAATAAAAAAAAAAACTAAGCACAAACCTGGCAAATGAACCACTGGGTTGCATTATATATTTTGCTTTCTGCACAAATATAAGCACGTGGTGTATCAACCTACATTTATTGCACAAAATGGAATAATATCAGTACACGGAATAAAAACAACAATAAAAATAGAAATTAAAAGATGATACCACAGTATTAGCGCAGATTAAAAAAAGAAATATACCTGAATTCATAAAACATCAAATTAGATTATGTATGGCATAAGCACTAACCTTCTGCAGCAATCCAAAAAAAAATGGAATATTTGACTGTTCAAGCCAGCCATCACCGTCTTTAGCCTGATGAAAATCATTGCAATCCTGCAAAAAAACACACAATAATATTATATACCTAATTAGATCAGAATATCCCGACATTTAGTTATACTTAGGACAAAGAACGTTTAAGAAAGTGTAATAAAAAACAAGGACCTGACACCATCTTGCTTGAGATTTTGATCTTTCTACAAGAGTCCAGATATGGAAGGTACCACACTTCTTGCAAAATATTCTTCTTGAATCTCCATGGGGACCACTATCTTCAGCATCAATATGGGTGAATTCAGAACTGAAGATACCATGCCTCTCATCCTAATCCATTCAATTATGTCAAATTTTAGTAGATAAGAACATGTGCCATAAATAGTGAGCTTAATGCTGGAAGTCTAGGAATGATAACAACTAAGAAAAGAAATTATTAGATCACTAATGCAGTATATAAGCAAGGTGAAGAAAAATGCCTTGTAGGATGAAGTCTGAAAACTTCTAATGTAATTTAAAAGCTCCTCCCGCCTTAGGTCATCGTCATAGTTCTTCCTCTTTATTGAATCTAGCAGAACCTACACATCAAAATGACACTCATGAAATAGTAATTGTTGAATGAAACAAAATGCATTCCCATACAAAAGAGCATATTAATAGAGAAAGCTTACTTCGTATGCATTTTGAAGTTTTTTAAAGGCTTCTACAGCTTTCTCATTGCCCATGTTCTTGTCAGGATGGACTAGTATTGCCTGGAAATGTGACATTTAAAATGTTTATCTTCAATGATGGAAAAAATGATGCTTTTTAACTAATTATCTTGGCATATTGACACAAGAAGTGGCAAATAATACAACAGTAGCCACAACAATTCCGATACTCTTTCTTGAGTACAGATATATCAACATTTTCAAAGCGGTTGAAGCCCAACACTGCATAGTGATCACCACAGTTCAACAGCCGACCAACTTCATCTTCTGATGTCAACTCTGTCTCTCTGCCGCTGGTTGAAGGGATCTCATTGAAAAAATCAGCTGATCCCCTACATGAATTAAGAAAGGCATTATCTACAAATGAAAAATGTGAATGAAAGACCTAATCTTTTCTAGCCTTTGCAATTTATCCTGCTCTGTGGAATTTCATACCTATTTTCATTTGCATTATTCTTTAGGACTTGAATTAGAACATCACTAGAGATAAAAGATAGATTAAGGCCAAAAAGCAAGCCAAGAAATCCCATGTAACTTCTAACGCAGAGCAGAGAATACAACAAGGTCACAAAAAGTGCAATTCGTTCATGATGCAAGAAAAATGAGACACCTACATGTTGATTTCACAAGGTGTTAAAAATGATTGTCAAGTTTGTCGGCATCAGGAAATGACAAGCATCATTCATACAAAAATTCTAAAAAAGCATAAAAGAGGTGAACCTCCAAGAAAAATTATAAGGCTTGTCGTCCAAAAGCTTCCACAAAGCCACAAAGCCACAGTTGCAGAAATCGCAGGCACCAAAATTGCAGGAACAATGCCAACGAAAATCAACAGCAGAAAGGCAATGACCTGAAGAAGAACGGGAAAAGCCAATAATACAGCTGCAAAACTTTCTCCTAATTGAGTAACAAAGCAATAATAATTACCAATTAGTAGATATATATATTAAAAAGCCGTTGATTATCCAAAAAGGCAAAATATTTTTGTTCTTTCATTTAAGAAGAGTATTTCAGTTAAAGAAAGAAATGGAGGATAAAGTAACACTAAGGTGCATACAGCAATAGATGGATCATCAAACATAATCTGTAAGAAGTATTTTAAATAAAAACAGTTAATGCCCACTATGCCAAATAATAGAACTTGAGAATGATTACAAAACAAATTAAAAAAAAAATGTCCTTTTCTTTAATCAATATTTTGATTATCTTGACCTCCTCACATGCTCGACTTTGCAATGCAATCAAATGTATCAAAGATGACTAAGAATGATGGAAGAAGGTATCATGCAAATGGAAGTCGCGATGCATCACACCAAATGAAATTAAATGTTGCCCAATCTATAAAATGATTTATTTGATGCATCTAGAACTTCAAAATTACTCTAAAGGGATATTTTATGTTGATTTGATCTAGCACGATGCAAACGAAGGGGATCGAATGTGCATTGCATAAATTAGACTCAAAAGCGCTTTGACTATTACCAAAGCTGCACAATCATCATATATTAGCAAAACATACCACGCCAAAAGTCCAGAGCAACAAAATTAACAGTCTCCCATCTTTCTAATTGGTAAGTCATAATAAAGAAGATAGATGACACACATGCATCGGAGTAAGGATGCTTCAATTGTTGTCGAAACTACTCAAATGATGCTCCTTTGCAAAAAAAGACAATATCAATGCATTCAAACCATCAAAATTACAACAAAAGGGATCCTCCATAATTGAAATGGTCGAACACAATGAAAATGTCGATACACAAATACATATCAATAAAATCAAGCGCAAATTTTCTCGAATGCTATTGACATTGCTCAAACAAAGGCCATTCAAAAAAAAGGACTAAATTGTGGGTATGGGAAGTTGAACTTAATTAGAGGGACACCAACATTATTAGGCCCCTGCAAGAGACATATATATAGATACATTACTAATTGGGAATATATCTAAAGTACATCGCATGCGTTACAGACACACATTATATGGTCAGCTATTTTAAAGGTATAAAAATGAATATTTTTTCTATTATAAGTACTATCCGCCTATTTTAAAATTACATATTTTAGGTCGTATATGAGGCCACCTCTTTTAAAATTTCACCACTTTTTCTAGTGACGTGTTTTAAAACCCTTTGATCTTTAGGACGGGACAGGTATGGCGACCCCGTCAAAATCATACCGTAGCCAAGACATTGCCCCTGTGCACTTAGATGCCGGTTAGGACACTTTTAGTTAGATGGTGTGTTAGACTAGGATTTAGAATGCTAGATAGTCTTTTTAAATCCTTTGTCTATTGTTCCTTGATGATGTGTTTGTGCTGGCCAAATGTCACTTTTGTGTTTTTGGGTGTGCTTGCATGTTTGTTATTTATGGTAGTATATTAGGGCGTTCTTGTACAGGCAGTCATGTCTATACAACAACAACAATAACAAAGATTTAATCCCACTACGTGGAGTCGTGTCTATATATATATATATATATATATATATATATAT